CCCTGCAGCTGCCTTCATGTGCCCACTCCTGTGACCACAGCAGCCTTCTCACTCAGCGTGTCCTATAGACTGCCACCTTGTCCTAAGCCTGTGACTTGGCCCACTCTGATGAGCAACTCCTGGCGTTTCAGCTTTTGGAATGGTGGCAAACGCAAGACAACACCACCCACTAGCAGTTGCATCGAGGATGTGTGCCAGCAGTGGGGAGGCAATCCAGTTCACCTGCGGCCACTGGCGGTCCATCTCCCACACCTCTGGCCAGAGGCCTGTAGCTGCAGCCCACCACTGGCCCTTGCCTCACCTTGAGCCGCTCCGAATGGAGAAGCTCCTCCTTGATCTCCTTCAGTCTTGCCTCTCGAATGGCCTGTTTTGTCACCGAACGCATAGCGTCCTGGGGTGGAAACAGAAGGTCACAATGGCAGGGCTGCCTGAACCCATGCTTCTGGGCCTCAGGTCCCCCGGCTTGCCCCCTGCTGGGGCCCTCACCCTGCAGCGATAGCGGAAGCCCTCGATCTCCTCCATGCAGAACTGGTAGGGAAGCAGCACGGGGGTCCCATCCTCTGCACAGAAGGCTCCAGCTGAGGCTCAGGGATGGTTTGCTGGGGGCCTCTGCTCACAGCCTCGGGCATCCCCCTGGGATGAGACACCTGGGGGCCCAGCACATGCCTTCCCCACACTATGCACATGTGAGACCTGAAATCTCACAGATATGCACGACAGCTGCCCTGGGCTGCCGTGGCCACCGCCTGGGTGCCTGTCACGTCCCTCAGCCTCAGAACCAGCCCCATGGTCACGACTCTCCTCTTCCATGGTCACTCTGGCCACAAGGGCAATGTGACACAGGGGCAGGCAGTAGGACCACAAGGAGCTGACAGTCAAACATGGGTTTCAGTGCTGTCACAGGAACATGCTGGGCCACTGACATCCAGGACAAACCAATGAGGGGTGTGACATTGCCCATCCCAGGCACAAGAACGAGCACTTAGAGAAGTGGGGCCCTAGGCCACCCTCTACACTAGCCCAGAGGCTGGATGCCACGCAGTCAAGTGTCCTTCCCCTGTCCCACTGAAGGCAGGATGAGGTCCCATGAGGAGCCCCTTGTGGACCCCCTGCCAGTCTTCCCATTCCTTGCCTTTGAATACTGCCTGGCTGACCTGCTACAGTGTAGCCTCTGGAAGGCATGTCAGTGCCCAGACCTGGGCCAGGGCCCAGTAATTCAGAATCAGTGAAGAACCCCCAGGCAGCTCCCTCTCCAAGGGTCATCTCTGGAGCTACACCAGTCTCCTCATCTTCCAAAACCCCTTCCCCTGCCTTTAGTCTTCTGCTCCATGAGGTGGACAGTAAAGCTGACAGACTGGGACCCCAGCCTGCTCATCTGGGAAGGGAGACAGTGTCTGCCACCCAGGGCAGGGTTGGGAGACACACTGCAGAGCAGGACCAAGCAGCCAGGGGCTGCTGGGAATATACATGTCCTGCTGCCATCACCAGCCACAGGCCTAAGGTATCACAGGAGAAGCCTGGACCCAGTGCAGGCTGATGAGAGCCTGGCTCTTACCTCCACTGAGAATCTCCTCAATCTTGCCCAAGTGGAATTGCTCTGCGGGCAGCACAAAAGTCAAGACTATGCCTGAGTTGTTGGCACGTGCTGTCCTGCAAGGAGACAGCCCAGCCGGCACTCTGATCCGAGTTCTGCAGGGTGCCCACGGTCCAGGTGCCTGGCCCGCCACATCCCAGCCCTCCTACCTTCCAGCCCGATGAATGTAGGCCTCAGGGGTGAGTGGGAGATCAAAATTGAGCACAGCACACACATGGTGGAAGTCTATGCCACGAGCCACACCTGCCTCTGGGTCAGATGCCCTGCAGGGAGACTCCCGACCATCAGACCCTCCTCCCCTCTGCTGGAATCACAAGCTTATTTAATCAGTAAGATTTATTAAAAAAGCCTTGTATGGAACCACAAGACCCTGACACATCTAAGACACTAATGTCAGAACTGTCCAGGAGCTGGGGTGGCAGTGGGGATCAAACCCTTGCCCTGACCTCAGCTTAGGGCAACAACAGAACTGAGAACCACTCCTGGCCAGCCAATCTCTCAAGCAGACAGAGACTGGAGGTTCCCTTTTCCCTCCAACAAGTCATAGCTGCACACCCAAAAGCAGGCTCGGCTGTGTCCCTTGCAGGACAGTGAGCCAACCACCCAGGCAGCTGAGCCAGGGCTCTGTGCATGATGCTAGCAGCCAGGCCTGGAATGTCTGGCTTCCTGCTCTGGCACCTGGTTTTGTCTTCTGAAAGGTTGGAGGCAGATCTCCCTGGGGAGGACTCACCTGTCCCCCTTGGGTCCTTTGCCCCGACGCCTGCCCTTGACTGGGGCCCCCAGGACTTCGGCATCAGTCGCTATGACACAATCGTAGAAGCCTTGGTTGAACTGTGAGATGATGTGGCATCTGTGCCCCAAAAGCAAAGGGAGGGTCAGGTCCAAGAGCAGACTGGAGGCCGCTCCCACAACACTGTGGTGACCACCATGCTCTGACCCTACCCTCTCCTTAAACTCCTTCCCAGCTTAATATTTGCACCTCAACTTCCTCAGTTGAAGATGGAGTAACAGGTGCCTCAAAATCATGAAGGAGATAGTCAGAGAGCTGGTCAAGAGAGCCAGGCCTGAGAGCTTAAGAAGCAGGAACATCAGCCGTGTCCCCTTTGCAATCCCTACCTCCAACCACCCCACCCTGAAACCAGCTGTGCATACCTGGAGTGCAGTGGAAGCTCCCCATTGAGCACACAGGTGGGGATGCTGAATTGCTCCAAAAACAGGCGCAGCCGGTAGCTCCGCTCAAGAGTGTTGACAAAGAGAAGAGACTTGCCCCGAATCAAAGACAACTTGAGTAGGGCATACAGTAACAGAAACTTCTCCTCCTCTGTTCCACAGACCACCTGAAACTGCTCTAATTGGTCTGGCCCTGGCAGCTGGGACTCCTGTAGCTTGAGGGTAACCTAGGGGAGGACAGGCCTGTGGTCAGGAAAGAATAAAAAACAGAAATGCTACTACAAGCCACTGACCAGCCAATAACACAAATGTGTCAGTGTAAGGCCCCTCATGGCTGTGTGAACAGATGACATAAAACTACATAGAAAGCATAAGGGGCCAGAAGAGGGAGAAACACACATGTGACTGAAGTGCAAAGGAAGGCCCTGCAGCAAAAACTTCCAGGAGAGTGCAGGGTCCTTGCTCAGGTGGTTCCATGAAGCATGGTTTGAATTCCCTGCAAAGAATATCTGAAACTAAGTAGTGATTTTAGATGGTTGGGGGACATGTTGACAGCTACCAGCTTCTAGTACCTCAGAACCAGGGAGACTAAACCAGTAATGACTGTCCTCCCAAAATACTAAAGTGTTCCTTTGAAGGAGGATCAAATCCTGAGTATCATACATGAGTGGTTCAAGACATTTCCATGGTGCCCTTACCGGGTTATGCAGTACCAGCTCCTTGAGCACTTGTACATCTTCATTAAAAGTAGCTGACATCAGAAAAGCCTGGTAAATTCGGGGCAAATGACTAAAACGAAACAGAGCCCCATCAGAGTCCAGCTCCAAGGGTCTCTGTTCCTGGCTACCCCACTCCAGGTTCTCATGTCTATTCACAACCCCATCTGCCTCTTCCCTACCAGAGAAGACTCTTGACCTCCTCCTCAAAGCCAAAGGAGAAAAGAAGATCAGCCTCATCCACCACCAGCAGCTCCAAGGAGTCTTGCAGCTTCAAGCTGTCTTGCTGCAGGCTGTTTAAGATTCGAGACGGGGTCCCCACCACTACATCAGGCTTCTCCATCAGCACAGCTCTGTGGACATTGGAGAGAAGGTGGCAGCTGGGACCTCACCCCAGACCAGCCCTCTGTCCTACTGCACACAACCCCAATCTCACATTGCTATGAAGCCTTATTGCCTACAGCTCTGTTGCTCTCACCCACCTCTGAGAGGCTGCATCTTCAGTGGCTGAGACATTGGCCACCCGGATGTCTCGAGCACAGTAGGCAGCCAGCTGCTGAATCATGGACTGGGCCTGCCGTGCCAGTTCCTTGGTGGGCACAAGCACAAGACCTCTCACAGCCTGCTCTACTGCAGGGCCTGTCTGCAGGAGTACAAATGAAAGACGTCAGCCAGTCAGTTTTGTATCATCATGGCCACCTAATGCTTTTCTCTACCTCTTCCAGGCAATCTGACCCAGCTCTTGTGACTTCAAAACAACAATTTAGCTGTATTCGGATCAACTCCTTGCTTACATCTACCCACCTCAAAACACAGAATAGAAGGTAATCTTTCCTCAGGGACTGGCCCTCAAAAAGAACAGCTTACTACTTTATAGTTATGTAGCTACTTAAAATGTACCAGTAAGGCACTGCAGTTTCACAGTAATTCTACAAGCTAGCGAAAGAAATGGGCCCACTTTCTACAGAACGAGGAGAAATTCATTTGCTCAAAATTATGCAGAAATGGTGGTAGCGGAGACTGTGCCCAAGGAACCTGAATTCCAGCCCTAAGCGCCACCACACAGCCCAGGTTCCGCAGGCCGCCCACGGCGGCTCCTCCCACGACGCACCGCCTTCCTGCGGAGCAGCAGCTGCAGCATCGGAAGGGCATAGGCGGCCGTCTTCCCCGAGCCCGTGCGGGCTCGGGCGAGGAGGTCCTTCCCTTCCAAGGCCAGTGGGATGGCCTTCTCCTGAATGAGTGTGGGTCGCGACCAACCCAGGTCGGTGATGGCCTAGGAGAAGAGAGGCAGCTCAGACAGCGCACTGCCCTGCCGTGCCCTCCACGACGGTGTGGCCTTCCCCCAACCCTCCCCGGTACCTGCAGGAGCCGGGGGTCCAGACCCATGTGTTCGAATCCCAACACCACCGGATCAGCCATGCTCCTACTCGGCAGTAGCAACGCGCACGCGCGCAAGGAAAAGCGCGACGACGCGTGCGCGAGGCAACGCAACAACCAGTCAGCTTCAGAAGACCTTCTCTCCCGGAAGTGCTGGAACCTAGGCTTCCGGTGTTTGCGGGGCTCTGCGGCGGTGGCCGCACGCAGGACCCCGGTGGCTGGCGGAGTCTTTTCTCATTACCTGACGCTGCCTCCTCGCACCCTGCTGGGGCGGAACTGCGTGGGGGCCGGTGTGGCCCTCCGTGTAGTGTCAGTCTCCCGCGCGGCAGGCAACCCACAGGCTGCCCGGCTAGTGTCAGCGACACACAGGTTGACGCGTCTGCGCACCCGCCATCTGCACTCAGGAGAGGGGCCCGTAGGGAGGAAGCAGGAAACCCAACGACACAACCGCTTTGAGAGCAGAGCGTTCCACCGTGTGGGAGGGACCGCCGACGGTCCGAAGGACGCTACAGCAATTGGACTGTGCGAGGATGGGGGTTAGGAAAATGAGTAGCACAAGAAAAGGAAAGGAAGGTGGGTCTGGAGTGCTGTGGGTAAAATTGTAACATTTCCAGAATATCTCGCCTGGCTTTAGTACACCTGCATATCAATAGGTGTTCAGAGGTGGAAAGAAGTATGGCTTTAGTCCATTTGCATCATTCCTCAAGGGTGGAGAGAAGTTCATCTCCGTATCAGTGGGTAATTACCTGAGCAAGGAGGGCTTATCTGTACCCAAGAGGTGAGAGAGGGGGGCCAGTTTTGCTTCTGCTGGAACAGGAGAGACGGCCCAGGAGTGCAGTTTGTGAGCAATAAACAGATTTTAAACTTTATTTCTCCCTTTGACTGATTTCAGTTTTTAAGAGGTATTTTGCCCCGGGATTTACTTTCCCCAGACTTAGAGGTGCTCAACCTGGCTGCCCATCAGACTAGTTAAAAATAAAGATTCTTGGTCCCCCCACATGTACAAGTTTCCCTTTGCTGCTGTAACAAGTCTTTAGTGGCTTAAAGTAACACAAATTATCTTACAATTTTGTAGGTCAGAAGTAAGACAAAGTCTTACTGGGCTGAAAACATGTCAGAAGCCTGCATCCCTTAGGGATCATTGGTTTCTTGCCTTTCCAAGCTTGGCACATGGATCCCTTCCTCCATTGTCAAAGACAACCATGCAGGGTTGAGTCCTCACATCTTATCAGTGACCTTTTGCCTCTCTCTCCCACTTCCAAAAAATACTGTGATGACATTGGGCCCACCCAGATATTCCAGGTTGTTCTCCCTATTTTAAAGTCAACTGACACAGCCCTTCACTCAGAGGAGGGGACCTGTCCAGGGATAACACCATGAGTAGGACTGCTCTCTCCCACTTTTTTTTGGTGATAAGGAAGCAGAAGGCTGTTTGTTATACAGTCCTAAGAAAGCAAAAATTTCAGAATGAAATAGTAGTAGTATTGGGTTGTGGGGAGGTCAGAATTTCTTCCATGTAGCCAAACTCTTTTCTAAAAAACTTTCCTAGGCCCTAATGTGTCTGTGAATACCACAGCAGACCGGAACTCCTTCTCCCCACATGCCAGCCCCTCCTCTGTCCATTGCTAGTGCACTTGCCCATCAGCATGCAGGTATGATACTCTCCCACAGCTGTCCTCACTTCATCCCCACACCTACCAGATATTCGGAGGAGAAGAAATCCAGGACATACTGACCTATAGGCATAATTGAAATTGCATCTACAGGTGGACAGACAGGAAACCCACCCCAGCTCTTAACTGTTGTCTGCTGTCCTCCCACAGCCCAGCTTCAGTGTCTGCTTCTCTGGCTGGAGTTCCAGTAACAGCCACAAAGCAGAAATGTGTTCCCCCACTAGAGCCTCAGGCCAGAGGTCCACACTACCTAGTTCCAAGGCTACCTGATTTTCTCAGTTAATTCTAACAAGAAGAAATGCTTATAAAAAATTGGATATACTTTATAATTTTAAAAAAAGGTACATGGATAGTATGGGACATATAGAGAAAAACAAGAAGGGAAGCATTTCTGCAGGTCAGATAAGTAACCTATTTTAAATGAGTAAATACATAATAAAACCATGAAAATAGAATGTCAAGAACAGGCAACAAATGGTACTGTTTTATACAGCATAAGGGCATAAGGGAGTATACTAAGACACATTTAAATGTATGATTCCAGGGGCAAACAGGTGATTAATCTTGCATGATTCCTTGATGATGGGTCTACCTGGCAGACCTCTGAATGGCTGAGCAATTGCCCTGTCTGTGCCCCACAGCCCACTTGCTGTGCCAGCTTGGTAGCCAGACAGGCTGTCCAGGCCAAGGGCCTTTCCTGCATTTCCCTTTGTGCCTCCCTTCTGCCCATACCTTCTCATTTCACTTCAAACACAGCTACTACAACACATTTTATTTCATTGGAAAAATCTGCATAAAGAACCAAACCTTATTCCCCTGAAGAAAACATTTACCAAAGCTTAAATAAAGATGAAGGTAAGAGGGATGAAAGAGTGCCCTGCCTTATGCTGGCTATCACCACCTCACTCTTACTCCAAAGCCAGATCATGGAAATCACAAGTGTCCCAGAAAAGCCTCTGCCTGGCCCTTCCATAGGGCCTTGAAAGCAGCTGTAACATCTGCTTTCTGGCCCACAGACCACTGAAGTCCTGAGAGCTGCTGTGGTGGGTACAGATGATGCAGAGGGGACTGCACTGGGGTCTTGGGCTAGTCACACACAGAAGTAACACCTAAACTAGGAAGGAAAATATATAATTTATCAAAAAATAATTCCAATATATAGAAAAACATCTCAATCTTCTGAGGCCTCTGCCCCTTATTTACATTCACAATGGCACTGAATGAACCCAGGACTTTATGGGAGCTGTGAGATGGGGCCTCGTCAGTGGGGCCCTTCAGTTGTAAATAGGCAGAGAGAAAAGTTAAAGGGGTAGGACAGATTGTTTCATTTGCTCTTTTTGTGACAGGATGGAGGGAAGTCACTGCAGGCAGAGAAGTAAGACAGTCCTGGGTCAGTTCCAACTCCGCAGAAAACCTGAGCCAGATCTTTAAAAGCTTGGACCAATGTCCTGTGTCCTTGAAAACCAATGCTGACAAGTGGCTGATCTGAATGCTTTGTTGCCATGGAACCAATGTGGCTAATATTCTTTTTCATTTTTTTCCCTTAAAATCCAGGTGGATAAGGTATTGGGTGGGGAAAGTACCAAATAACTGAGGTGACAGGGAAGGGTCACACACAGAGAATATTACACCAGCTTCTTGGCTTCAAAGAAGCTCTTGAGGTGACGCATCTGCCAGATGCCAGTGAGGATGAGTATGATGGTCTGGGCAATGGACCACCACAGGACCCTCTGGTTGGTGCTCTCGCTGGTAAGACGGAAGCGCTCTTCACGATACTGTGTATGACAATGAACCCAGGATTAAACATGTAGGAGAGGTGGTCCTGGCTGTTGGGAGGCCTCTCTCTCCCATGCACCCATTCATCCACAAGCAGCTCTACCTGGACAGAAATCACACTCCTACTGCTCAACGCAGATCCCAAGGTAAAGAGGTAGGCAATGGCCTTGCTAGATAAGGAAATGTCCTCTTCATTTTATTCTATAGAGTTTAAAAACAGCTATCTAGTCTGATAAACTCCATTCCATTCTCTGAACAGCTGATCACCCAAACAGGGACAGCTGCAAGCAGAAGGTGTGGTGTAGTGGCTTTAAAGGTCACCTGCCATGTCTGAGTGCAGCGATGTGCCCTTACCCTCTGGTAATTCTGCTCCTTCTGAATCTGTTCCACCTGATCAAGCAACTGGCGGGCTCGGAGCTGCAGCTCGGTCAGCTTATCCTTGGCAGCAATCTCAGGGTAGTTGTTGGCATGCTCCCCAACCTGTATGTCTAGATGCACACGCTAGAAAAAAAACAGAATTGGATCCCCAAAGCTCACAGGTTATGGCGTTTTGAGTACTGAGGCCTCCAAATGTGTGTTCCAGGCAATGTGACCCACTCTTGTCCCTAGCTTAGGGATGGAGAAGCAACATCTGTCTCCCTAATTGTGACTGTGCCACAAAGTCACAATAACTCAAAACTTCGGAGCCAAGTTTGAGCTGTGACCAAAGATAAAACTTACCAGTCTGCCACCTGCGAAGAGAGCCATCCTAGTAGAGTTGGAGTGCAGGCAAATCTGATGGTCGCCAGGGGTGTGGGAGGTGAAGGTGAAGCGGCCCTCGGAGCCGTACTGCCGCGACAGCACCACCTGCAACACAGCAGTCAGGGCAAGTCCGCCTGCGCGCACTAGATCCGGGCGTCCCCGAGGATCCGGGCGTCCCCGAGGGCCTGAGCGCCGGCCGACGCGGCCCTACCTTGCCTTCGGGGTCTTTCACCTCCACATGCATGCCCAGGCCGGGGGTCGAGGGCAGGAAGACCTCCCTCTGTTTGTCCCACATCTGCGTGCGGTAGTTTCCTGCGGGCAGACAGAGCATTCACGACCGCTGCTCCGCCCAGCTCTGCGCTGGCGGGGACACGCTGCGCCCGACCCTCGCCCCGCCTGACCGATGACCATGGTCTCATCCGGGATTTCCTCGATGAAGCAGCGCTTCTCTGTCTCGCCGATATGGAAGTAGAGCCCCCAGGTGCCCGCCGCGCACAGCGCGAGCAGCAGCAGCGCCCGATGCGCCATCACCGCCCGCGGCCGGCGACACCTGCCAACGCACGCCCGTGCCCGACGCGCATGCGCTCCGCTGCCTGACGGTGCCTCTCAGTCGGACGGGGGCGCGCGCGCTGTGACGCCGGGAATCCCCCAACCTCCGCAGTGTTTCCGTGAGCGTTGCTGGGCCGCACTTCCAGGTGACGCTGCGCGGCCCGGCTCAGAGTGCGCATGCGCCGACTCGTTCACTGCCCACCCGTTTTCAGTGTGCAAACAAGGGCTACTTACTGCATTCTTTGCTACAAAAACTAAATGTCCTTATCTAGCAGTTCCCTTCCCTTTTAGTTGATGACGGTAGTGATGCCGTTTACTTATTGAAGCAACTTGATCACTGACCAATAGAATTTTCCGCATTATGGATTTGCTTATTGTATCTTCATGTATCATTTAACGTGCTTCCCTGCCACTGTGTATCTTGTAAAGAGGTAAATACTGAGCCAGCCAGGATTTAACAGTAAAATGAAATGTATTTTAATCCATTATAACAGTTACCCTTTTTTATATATTCAAATTGTCTCATAAACCATTGCTTCTCTGTGCCCCTTTGACACAATTCTAGTAGTCTTTGGGGCTTCCTTCCTTGTAAATTTCTTGCCCTTGACACACACAGCTATTTATACAAGGAATCCAAATTAACTTTAGTGAGCAACGGTATTTATATTTCTAATTTTGTTTTTTCTTAAAGAGGATCCTGACATTTCTTCTAACTGATGAGTGATTTTAAAGAGACTGCATTCCCCACAGTAGAAAACCTACATCAGGTATCTACTCCCCAAGCCGAAAAACTTTTTGCCAGCATTACCTAGGTCAGCTACCCCTCCACTCAATTCATTCAACCA